TTGCGCAGTCCTGCGCGGTCGCGAATGGGTTAAAAGGGTCCAACATAACCCTAAGTCTCTAGTCATCCGCAACAGCTTTCAAATTTGAATGAAAACAGAGGAACTGGCCTCAACACATAGATAGTGAATTCATTCACAGATATCACACATAGGCTCTGTTAACGTTTCAGCCACTTAAGAAGACTACCAACAAACTGTCGAATCTGCTTGATATTACTTGGCGTGCTTTCCATTGTTCTGTCAGACTGTCAGACTGCAAGCTTTTACAAAAATTTGGAATTTACCTGGAGTTTGGTCGTACTCGGGAACTTTCACACAACAAATACAGTAGCTTTTTTCATTTTTCCTTCTTTCTCCCATCCAAAACGACTACGCTGGTTTTACTGAAGAAGGCTTGCTTTCAACATATGTCAAAATTTGAAGTGATTTGATCGGGCAACAAAATGTGACAATCGAAAAACGTTTCCACTTAAAACTTCAGAGCGCTATTGTATATACCCACAAGTCTTCATGAAACCTTGCTTACGTCGACTTAGCATCCAATTTATTTTGACGTTCAATGTTGACGTCCGAGACCGCCTGCGTTCTCCAAGGTGGCCGGAAGGAATTCGTAACACCTGAACAAGAAGGAAATTATTTAAAGGCGAAGTTGAGAGTGGTTTCAATGCGATTACTGTCTTGGAATGCGGTTCCCGACGACGAGAATGACGAACATATAAGAAGGAGAAAATTGCTCACTGAATCTGTGACCGCCTTGCAATCGCTTGAACATTCCTGATATCCTTCTTGTTGGACCCGCGTAAGACGGCGAAAGCGAATTTGTGTCACCGTTGCAAGAACTGCAATGGAAACAATGTTATATGATGTTGTGAAGAAGAGAATAACAACGCGTTGACAAGCAGTAATCAAAGCATCAGCGAAAGTACTTTCACTACAGAAGAGGCGCTGGGCGCTCATCCACAATGCGCAGATGCCCAAAACTTAAAGCCGATAGATTATCGTTGAATTCATCGTATTGAAGAGGTGCAGCATAGGTCAACCGACTCAGTTCCTATGAAGTAATGTGTATTGAGTGTGCCAAAGGCGAGCACTGCTACAAGCATAGTAGGAACAGAGAACATGTTGAAATGACGCGCTTGCCTTGAACCTACTCGACGACAGCTACCTCCACAACAAGCGATGACCTCTAGGAAGTTTTTGTTTATGTATCAACACAAAAAGTGGCGACGCCAGAGACTATTATTGATTCCTCTTTGATAACCTTCCTTTAAGGCCATTTAACAATGTGTTGCTACCGTAATTTTGCCCACCCTGTACACTGTAGAATGTCGCACTCATTGAGTTCCTGCAAATTCTCCATGGTCAGAATCGTTTTGCTAGTGAAGCGGCCTTCACTTAGTTGGGGCGACAACCGTGGCAGTACACCCTTTACACAGATTCCCTCTGCCTGCAAGTTTGCTTCTACTTATCACTGATTTGAAGCTTTACTTTCAAAAAACTTCACTAACTTTATCAGTTAACCCAGATTTTACGTGAAAGCTGTTGCAAACATACTTAGGAAATCATCGATACTTGCCTTCGAGGCAAAACTATGGAGGAAAAAGTGGAAAAGAAAATGAGAAAAAGTAACGGTTGTCTCTGCGTTTTGTCATTCCAATCACAGGCACATATCATCGTTTTCACCTCGCAAGTCCCATGGTGCATGCGCGTGAAATCGTCCCCTTTTCGAGCGCCGCGAGAATCATGAACGGTCACTCATGAGTACTCCTATAATAGAGAAAATTTCATGTTCTTTGTTACTAATTCTTCCTCCTTCGAGCACTCTTTTAGTTCAAACTCTAAAAAGCAGTCATGAAAACCACATGCGAAGAATAGCCAGTCTCATTTGTCGAAGAAGCAACGTTGGAAATAAAGTTGAATAGCACTGCATTGTGCCATGTTGGCCTTGCACCTTTTCTAAGAAATCTGAGTTGATCATGCTGACTGACTAGATCTAACTTTCAGCCTCAAGTTATTACGTTCCATTCTTGCCGTCGGAACTACAATCGTCAGATCGCCGAAATTCGCTGATCATTTATCGTTACATGTGAAATCGGGGATAAATGGCATTATATCTCCACCTAATCATTCCAATGATCTAGCATCCCGTCTTGTTCAAAGACAACCATTTTTGAAGGCCTGTTTGATGGCGGCTTTCTTTGATTTGCCGTCGCTAACAGTGGCATAAACTAGTTTTCTTCTCTTAAAGGAGGATTGCACGGAAAGAACGAAGGTCGAAGAAGGGAGAAATCGCCTAGTGGGGAGAGCGGTGAATCTCTTGAGGGTGCGGACAGACACGCAATCGGCATCGAAAGATTTGACCTCTGAGATCTAGCATGGCTCAAAGTTGGCGAGTTCGGCGATCTCCGCCCACCGATCGTCTGATCACTCGCCGTAGTACAATAGGTGGCGAGTGATTAGATAGCTGAGAGAGCGTAGGGTTGAAGAGGGCAAAGCGATGAGAGTCCCATCAATGCTCAAATCAACGGACAAGGAAGGGGTCCCATTTCTCCGGTTCTGGGCCGTTTTTCGTGGTTTCGCTTTCTTTCTGGTACTACTCACCATCTCTACCTCAATTTGGAATGGGTTGCTTTTCCATCGTAAATTCGTCCTTTAAATTTTCTGAATGCCTTGCCTCGCTTCAGAAATAATACCACCCAGATCCAAGCTAATCTGCAACAGTATTCAACACGCATGTGCCTTAAATAATGGGCGCGAGACGTGTATTAATGTACGGCGGCTGTCGGCCAAATAGCGCACTCAGTCGCGATGTCGTCAAATAATGGATCTAACTCCTCCAGTTTACTGTCTTCCATTCTTCTGGAGCCTTCCAAAGCGCAATGGTTCTGTTCGAAAGAACAAATCACTGCTCATTTGTCAGAGATCACATTCCTGAACATCCCGCACAGCATATCGGGTTGGTGAGACGCCTTAGTGATCTGATATTAGGAGCTTAAGGTTGTAGGGTCATTGCTGCTAGTAGGCCCTTGTTATATATTATTCACGATAATCAAACATTTGGATGTGTATCCAGGTAGGTAATTTAGGGAAGTAAACTCAGGTCCGAGGACATGTGCTATTCCCCCAGCTAAATCGAATACCCAGCTCCATCAAAACTGAGCGCTGGTGCTTCTCGAAAGCTACAGATCCTCCTAGTGAAACGATTTCCTTACAAGGGCAGTATCTGACCTACAAAAGTGGAAAGACTGTTTAGTATGTAATCAGCCGTTAGGTTCCTTATTTCATTAATCCGTAATATAGTTAGAAAATTGTGGATGGACATACATTTCAACACAGCTTCCGACTTGTGGATTGATTGGTCTTTGAGCGCTTTCGGCTGTGTAGAGCGGTTCGGGTAAGCTGTCCTCCCAGAAATTATCACGAACCATCTCTGGGAAGGTGTCGTAGGCTTTGTCGACGACGTTGAGTACGACGTTGAGTCCGACCTCAAAAAAAAGAATTCAGCAATTGCATATTCAAGATGTGCGTAAGCTGAAAGCCGACCATATTGAATTAATCTTACAGTGGCTGGGATGTTCGGACTGAATATTTTGTTCACGTCTCTCCACTTGCCGTATTACTTCATGAGGCGTACCTTTCTAACCTCGCTCTTTCGTCACTGCCAGAAAATTTGGAAAAAACAACTGTGGTCAAGCAAAAACCTGTCTACTGAGGCCAAGCAGGCCTGAGGCAATTCCTTTTTGTAGGTAGCATGTCAGGATATAGACCATCGATTCAAGAGCGCTGGATGGTCTACCGAGATCCTTGTTAACGTTGTAGCGCGCTTGTGTCAATTAACATGAGCAAGTTTATTATTTTAGAGAAGCTTGCTAGGTCGCTTAATGGCACCAGATGAAAATCGTCTTCTCGATGGTTTTTCAACCTTTCAAGCTCGAAGGGTGAGAAGCGAACGTGGAGCAAAATAAAGAGTTCGATGAAGAGACTTTAACAAAATTTTCGCTTCAAAAAGGTCGAGTTAAAAATCGAACTCATCAAGTCGTTGCTGACGCAGGCTAGAGACGTTTGATGGTCAAGAAGACCTTAATTAACCCGGTCATACTCACCTGCAGATTACGGTCCAATATGTAATTGCATTCAAAATCGTCGTCGTCTTCACCAAGAGGATTGAGCAGCACCTCAGCAACCTGTTGATATATTATTGGTTAATGTCGCATAAGCCAGAGAGATCAATAAAAGAAGACTTCTCATAAAAAAAGAATTCACTGATGTTCATTAAAAGGAGGACGCCGTTCAAATGCGGATTTCACGACGGGAAGGAAGCTTTTGTAAAAATAAGTTAAAAATGGTCAGTGATGCACGAAAGAAGAAAAAACCAAGAAAATACTCTAAACCGGAGAATAGGTACCGCTTTCTTGCCTGTTAATTTGCGACTTTATGTGGCTCTCGTCGTTGCTGCCCTCTTCGACGCTAACGCTGTCTCCCTCTGAACGGCTAGAGACGCACACTGAAGATGACGCGAGAGGGGTGTAAGCGCAAATGTGCCGCAGGGAAGTCTACGCTAGATTGCCACGCGCATATGCTTTGATGCGAATAGCGTCGGTCCCCACCCTTGAGATATCCGCCCATCTCTTCAATAGGTAAGGTTCACCCCTTCTTCCACCTTCGTCCTTATCGTGATATTCCTCCTTTAAGGGTTTTGATAAAGGTCTCGCGCTAACTTTCTGATACCAGTCCTGTCGCTGGAGGCTGACGCGCTCTCTTCTTCCATAGCACCTCTTTTCTCAAATATTTAATTTGTTTATTTGTGACTAGCACGTTTTACTCGTGCGTATTGCTCGTGAGTAGCAACAGATGCAATATTGCTTTATATAAAATAAGAGGCAAATATTAAGGTTGTAAAAAGTTAACTATCCCCACATATAGGAACTATTTTGCACCTTCATCCTCTATCACGTGAGTATTGCAGTTCGCGAGTCTCATCCAGTAAGAGGGCATGCTGCGGACAATTGTTGCCATCTACAGAAATTCCAATTTTTTTGTAAGCGGAGAAAGTCTCAAGAGGTGCATGAACCACCTCGCTTTCACTTTTACACCCACCTCAAAGCTTCGTTTTCTCGCGAAAAATTGGATTTCTTTAGCTGATTTGGAACGGTCGCACCACATGCCCTCTTTACTGGATGAGATCCCAGTTCGCCTTTGTTTGAGGTGCCATTTCTTTCTTCAAAAATCCAGATGTGATTGGTTACGCTACTGACCAAGCATGTTGGCATGTTGCGTGTGCAAAAGCCAGTTCAAGGGCCCGTTCTATCACAAATAGGTCAACTATGTGATCGGTGCTAGCCGTGAGAACAGCCATTAATTTTGCTTCATAAAGATCAGTTCTTGGCTGCGACCACAAAGGAAAATTAAACGAAGCGATTGCGACGATTTTCAGGTTTCCAGATAGATTCCAGAGACAGGAAGAAGATTCCACACATCATTCACGGTAGGAGTCGACATGAGAGATGATGCAGAAGTTGCCCGCACGAGTTAAAGGAAGCAATTACGATA